CATGTTTAATGATTAATTTGCCCTGGCATTTGCAGCTCTCCCGGATGTACTCCCAAAGCCTTTGCAAAAGGTTTCTGGGGAGGGCAGCCTTATTCCACCCTCCATGGTAGGACACTTTACCACACCAGGCCAGTAGCACGTACTCAGGAATCATTGTAGAACAAAGCATTGCAGTGTATGTTTGCTGGCGTTCAAACAACATCCGTTCTTTATCTTTCTGTGTTATCCTCAGGAGAATGATATCATTCATGGTCACCTGGTTGAAATAGGGTGCTTTTCTTAAGGGGACATGCAGAGGTGCCCATTCCTGATGGGCTGTTTGCCTTTGGCTGAACAGAAATGTTCCCCGCTGTTAGCTGGGGGAGGGGGGTGAGGGGCTACCCACGTGGTGGGGGGAGGCAAAATGCGACCTTGGAACAAAAGCACATGTGCTGTGTATGTAATGTTAACAGCAAGGTTTACCGTGAAAGAGTGTAGCCATTGTTCTAGAAAATGTGTCTTTTTAAATACCACTGCCTCTTTTTTTTTTCCTCCACCAGCTGCATGTGTTTCAATGATCACAGGATCTTCTCCTTCCCAGATGCTAGTGAAGATTAGAAGGCGAAAAAAATGCACTCATGATTAAATGTTCTCTGAGCTCATGGTGTCCTCCCACACTGACATAGCACAGATGACTGTGTGGAGGCAGACAACGTCAGAGCGCAGGAAAGCACAATATGACCAAGAGGAGAGGTGGCGGGCTGAAGAGAGTAAGTGGCAGGCTGAAGAGAGGGCTGAAGCTCAAATGTGGTGGCAGCGTGATGAGAGGAGGCAGGATTCAATGCTGAGGCTGCTGGAGGATCAAACCAGTATGCTCCAACATATAGTTGAGCTGCAGGAAAGGCAGCAGGAGCACAGACCGCCGCTACAGCCCCTGTGTGACCAACTGCTCTCCTCCCCAAGTTCCATAGCCTCCTCACCCAGACGCCCAAGAACGTGGTGGGGGGGCCCCCGGCCCCCCGGCCACTCCACCCCAGAGGATTGCCCAAGCAACAGAAGGCTGGCATTCAATAAGTTTTAAAGTTGTAAACTTTTAAAGTGCTGTGTGGCCTTGTCCTTCCCTCCTCCACCACCCCTCCTGGTGCTTCATTCCTCCACCACCCCTCCTGGGCTACCTTGGTAGCTATCCCCCTATTTGTGTGATGAATGAATAAAGAATGCATGAATGTGAAGCAACAATGACTTTATTGCCTCTAACAGTGCTGACTGAAGGGAGGAGGGAGGGTGGTTAGCTTACAGGGAAGTAGAGTGAACCAAGGGGCTGGGGGTTTCATCAAGGAGAAACAAACAGAACTTTCACCCGTAGCCTGGCCAGTCATGAAATTGGTTTTCAAAGCTTCTCTGATGCGTACCGCGCCCTCCTGTGCTCTTCTAACCGCCCTGGTGTCTGGCTGTACGAAACCAGCAGCCAGGCGATTTGCCTCAACCTCCCACCCTGCCATAAACGTCTCTCCCTTACTCTCACAGAGATTGTGGAGCGCACAGCAAGCAGTAATAACAGTGGGAATATTGGTTTCGCTGAGGTCTAAGCGAGTCAGTAAACTGCGCCAGCACGCTTTTAAACGTCCAAATGCACATCCTACCACCATTCTGCACTTGCTCAGCCTGTAGTTGAACAGCTCCTGACTACTGTCCAGGCTGCCTGTGTACGGCTTCATGAGCCAGGGCATTAAGGGGTAGGCTGGGTCCCCAAGGATAACTATAGGCATTTCAACATCCCCAACGGTTATTTTCTGGTCTGGGAATAAAGTCCCTTCCTGCAGCTTTTGAAACAGACCAGAGTTCCTGAAGATGCGAGCGTCATGTACCTTTCCCGGCCATCCCACGTTGATGTTGGTGAAACGTCCCTTGTGATCCACCAGTGCTTGCAGCACTATTGAAAAGTACCCCTTGCGGTTTATGTACTCGCCGGCTTGGTGCTCCGGTGCCAAGATAGGGATATGGGTTCCGTCTATGGCCCCACCACAGTTAGGGAATCCCATTACAGCAAAGCCATCCACTATGACCTGCACATTTCCCAGGGTCACTACCGTTGATATCAGCAGATCTTTGATTGCGTTGGCTACTTGCATCACAGCAGCCCCCACAGTAGATTTGCCCACTCCAAATTGATTCCCGACTGACTGGTAGCTGTCTGGCGTTGCAAGCTTCCACAGGGCTATTGCCACTTGCTTCTCAACTGTGAGGGCTGCTCTCATCTTGGTATTCTTGTGCCCCAGGGCAGGGGAAAGCAAGTCACAAAGTTCCATAAAAGTGCCCTTACGCATGTGAAAGTTTCGCAGCCACTGGGAATCGTCCCAGACCTGCAACACTATGCGGTCTCACCAGTCTGTGCTTGTTTCCCGAGCCCAGAATCAGCGTTCCACTGCATGAACCTGGCCCATTAGCACCATGATGCCCACATTGCCAGGGCCCCTGCTTTGAGAGAAGTCTGTGTCCATGTCCTCATCACTCATGTTACCGCGCTGACGTTGCCTACTCGCCCAGGATCGCTTTGCCAGGTTCCGGTGCTGCATATACTGCTGCATAATGCGCGTGGTGTTTAATGTGCTCCTAATTGCCAAAGTGATCTGAGCGGGCTCCAGGCTTGCCGTGGTATGGCGTCTGCACAGAAAAAAGGCGCGGAGCGATTGTCTGCCATTGCCCTGACGGAGGGAGGGGCAACTGACAACATGGCTTACAGGGTTGGCTTACAGGGAATTAAAATCAACAAAGGGGGTGGCTTTGCGAGAAACTGAACGGCCCCCTCAAGGATAGAAACCCCCTGGGTTTGGCAGGCCGTTGATTTCACAGAGGGAAGGAGGAGAAAATGAATACAAAACAAATCTGGTCTATTTCTTGTTTTGAGCCACTTCATCTATCTTTATACATCTTGCTGGCAGCAGACTGTGCAGTACAACCGCTAGCCGTCGTCATCTCCTGGGTGCTCGGCAGAAGACGGTGCAGTATGACGACTAGCCATCATCTTCTGCTGGCTGGAGGTTAAAAGACAGTGCACTGCCGGTAGGACTGAATCGCCAAGAGACGAAACTTAAAAGGGAAATGACCTGACTGAGTCACTCCCATGTTTGCCCAGGCATCCGATTAAAAGAGCACCCAAGACTACGTCGATGATGGCTACCAGTCATACTGCACTGTCTGCTGCCAAAAGGCAATTAACTGCTGCTGTGTAGCAATGCAGTACCACGTCTGCCAGCACCCTGGAGTCATACGGTGACGGTTTGCTGAGGGGGCTCCATGCTTGCCGTGGTATGGCGTCTGCACAGGTAACTCAAGAAACAAGGCACAAAACGATTGTCTGCCCTTGCTCTCACGGAGGGAGGGAGGGAATGGGGACCTGACGATGTGTAGCCAGAACCATCCGCGACAATGTTTTAGCACCATCAGGCACTGGGATTTCTACCCAGAATTCAGATGGGTGGTGGAGACTGCGGGAACTGTGGGGTAGCCACCCACAGTGCAACACTCCAGAAGTCGATGGTTGCCTCGGTACTGTGGACACACTCTGCTGACTACATGCACTTAGAGCACTTGTGTGAGGACACACACAATCAACTGTATAAAACCGCTTACTACAAAACCGACTTCTATAAATTCGACCTAATTTCGTAGTGTAGACATACCCTAAATAGAAATATTTTCCACACATTTTAACAGACAATATGCAGCAAAAACAATATATCAAAACTTATAATCCTCTCCCTCTCACTTCAATGGTTTTCAAGTATTTATCACTCTAGTACTATGTAAAATACCCCTGGTTAAAATGCTCTGCATACTGTCCTTCACTAAATTCTGTTTGCACAGATGATGAATGTTGTACTAGTTGCAATGCTATTTCTGTTCTGTTTAAATTTGTAGAATGAAATAAAGGTTAATTAAAATAATAAACATTTTAGATTTAGAAAGTTTTTAAAAATGCTTGATATACCTTTGCATGTATTTAATTTACATAAAGCACAGACAATTAAATGCACAAGACTTGTTTGCCATGAACCATCAAACCATCAGATGCAAAATACAAGTGTATTTCTATATGGAATGACTGGGTGTGCATGCGTTAAATAGGTGAGTGCATTCACAAATGGCTAGACACATAATTGATCATTTGTACATGCAATTACTTGACATGTGTATGCAATCAGATTAATTGCACCCAGAAATTATAAATTCAAATGAGCCTGTATTTTTTTGGCATGCAAGTGTGTAATTAGGTTTCTGTAAATAAGTTTAAGAAATATAAATCATAATTGATTTTCTTCAGCTTTAACTGCAACAACAATCAACTGTAGTGGGAGCTGAGGATGCTTAGCATCTTTTGGAAGGCACTGAGTACCAATTAGGACTTAGTCTACAATATCAAACCTTGGACAAACTCCTGCCTCCATTGAAGTCAACTGGAGTTTTTTAATTGACTTTAGCGAGGCCAGGATTTTACGCCTTGTTTCTGCTGGTACATAGCAAAAGTAGCACATAAGATACACATTATAACTGCTGTTGAATAACCTCCATATGGCCATAGACAGATGCCAAACATCTATAATGATACCAATAGATCTTTAGGGTTCTGGAGCCTTACAGTTCCATCCATCTGAGAAAAACAAGTGTCTATTTTAAAAGAGCTCAGCATGATTCATTGGAATTCACCCTGCATGCCACACAGGAAGGGCCAGATTTTTAAAGGTAGCAGCATCTTTAGCCACCTAAATACCTTTAAAAATTGGCCCGAAATTCCCTATGGACCAGGTGGAATTTAAGGCTTTAGAACTATAGAAGGGATCTCACTGCAACAGCTAATTTTACAAAACACAGTAGGTGAGCTCAGTTGTACTCTCTTACATATAATTATTAGCTAGGGTGTGAGAAAACTCAACTGCTTTGACTCTTCTGATAATTAATTCATTTCTGAATAGTGGGGCATGTAAACTGAAACAGTTCTCAATTGTATACATTTTACCTACCTGAGGTACCCACTTTGATGAAACAAAACTGGTTGCTTCTATTACAGACAAGCCTGCTTTGGAAAGTCGGTTGATTAACTCAATTTTGATATCTGTGGGAACTGTAACCTATGGATATGGAAGCATTTCATTGTAAAATATCCGTCATACAAGAAGTACCTTTTGCAAATAAAATGCCCACAGCACAAAATAAGCATCCATACTTCATTTAAAGTAGTTAACCATGACCACATACTCTTCCCCTTGTGGGCAGGCAGTGGGTAGCAAACACACAATGGCCCAGGAAGCAGTATGCATGCGCCCACTCCATTCTCCACCCCTTCCCTGGAGTCTGAAGAAGCCATTCAATGAGAACACTGTAAACAGATGGCTTCACAAGAGATGGCAGAGGTGGGGATAAAGCGTCTCCACAGACAAGAGGGGACCCAGGAAGCAATCATTGTATACTGGTCCACTGGGAGGAAGAAAGCCAAAAAAACCCCCAGTAATTAATTTTCCCATTGTCATATTAAGGCTCCAGCCATGGTGAGGTACATGAATCTGCCATGCTGCCTACGGAAACGGGTGTTTTATTCTGGGATATGGTTAGGAACCATGGCATTTGGGTCCAATTTTACATGACCCAGCTTTATTCCCACTACATTAGGCCACCATCCAGTTCCCATCCCAGGTACCAGGTGGAAGATAGGGTAGAAACAGAAATCTTGCACAGTTTATGGCAAGTTATTTTTCTTCTCCCATAGGCTGCTCTTCAGGAAGGATGATAAAGCTTTAATTTATTATTGTAGCATCTAAGAGTGCTGAACAGGGATCATTGCCACAGAGTGCTAGGCACTTCCTGCACCAAAGAGTTTTCAATCTAGATTATGACATCATAATGCTGATGGACAAAACAAACAGGAGGAGTAAAGATGGAGGATGGTGCAATAATAAAGCAAGCATATCTCAACACAACAAAACAGTCATGGCTTGCTATTTATTTTAAATATCCAATTTAATAACCAATTAATTAGGTGAAAAAGGATTAAAAATTATGACATGTACATTGTACATAATGATAAGCATCCACATGGAAACAATGCAAAAATGGATGGTGACATAAATTACCTTTTCATTTTGTAATCCATCTCTTGGTCCAACTTCTACAATTTTAACATAGTCAGGAAGTCCAGATATTTGAAATTCCTGAAACACAAAATGATAGATTCACTGTTAAATAAAAATACATGTTTAACATATTATCAGTTTTATCACTGCTTCTTGTAAACCCAGGTATGAAGTCATTTTATCAACAGCAAAAGAAACATGCCTGCAGGGTGCCTTTAAAAAAATTCTGTGACGCCATGTTGCACACCTTGGATGGGGGAAGATGTGAAGGAGCAGAGTTTATTTGCATTCATTTTATATTTCTCTATCAGGGTCATAAATTATTATTAAACATAATTATTTATTTAAATGAACGTTGTGCTTTATGACACACAACATATTTCCTATGTCAAAAAGCTTAGAAACTAAGGGCCCAATCCTGTAAACATTTATGTATGGGAGCCCAACTGAATAAAGAACAGCAGTACTTGTAAAAAGAAAAGGACTTGTGGCACCTTAGACACTAACAAATTTATTTGAGCATAAGCTTTCGTGAGCTACAGTTCACTTCACTGGATCCACTGAATGCATCCAATGAACTGAGCTGTAGCTCACGAAAGCTTATGCTCAAATAAATTTGTTAGTTTCTAAGGTGCCACAAGTCCTCCTTTTCTTTTTGCAGATACAGAGTAACATGGCTGCTACTCTGAAGCCTGTCATTATGCAAGGAATACTTGTGGCACCTTAGAGACTAACAAATTTATTTGAGCATAAGATTTCGTGGGCTAGAGCCCACTTCATTGGATGCATAGAATGGAACATATAGTAAGAAGATAGATAGATATGCATACAGAGAACACGAAAAGGTGGAGTAAGAGGCTAATTAATTAAGATGAGAATACAGTTACCTGTGTGTGTAAATATTGTAAAAGATTGAGCCATACATCAGACAAGACTGAGACACATAAGTCAAGGGGAGGAGGGGTGAAGAGATTATTAATGATGACATAGAAGGAGGACATGTTGGAAGAGGTAGACTTTCAATAGGATTTAAAAGAGAATAGGGAAGGTACTTGCCAGACAAGAAGAAAACGTTTATAGGTGTACGAGAAGATTAAAAAGGTGGGAAGCTGAGGTGGGAAGAGGAGAGGAAGGCAGCAATAAGGTCAAAAGACTAAGGAAAATATAAGGAGTAGAAGAGGGAGTACAGAGAATGTGGGGCACAAAAGCAGAAGGAGGGAAATGAAATTTCCCTTGTTTGTTATTTGGCTGGTCTGATATTGAATCAAATGGACAGGTGGGGAGCTATTGTAATTAAGGCCCTATGTAATTAAATTCAGGACCTTTTGAGATGGTTTTACAGCAGTTTAGGAAGAAAAGCTGTACGTCTTTAAAAACAATTCAAATGGTTAAATTTGAACATATTACTACAGACCCATTTTGGGGCTGGGATAGTGTGGAAGCACATGATACGATCAAGAGCTCTGGAAGACACTGTGTTCTCTGCACTGCACTGAATGCAGTCCAATTCAATGTCTTCATTTTCACAGTTAAAGCCCTCTATGGGATTAATTCTTGCTACTTGAGAGAATGCCACTCCCTCCATGACCTCCCAGGACTGCTAAATTCCACTAAACTAGAACAATGAAACTGTGGACCAATGGGGAAGGCTCATGAATACAGGAGACACAGCTTTCACAGAAACCAGATCTAGACTTGAGAAGTCACTCTTGCAAAGAATAAAAACAACCCCTAACTTCACAGCATTCACAACTGGATGTAAAATCCATCTTTCAACCCAGTCTTATTTGCACTGTCACTGCAGTTTCAACCTAGTGGCTGGAGAACTTCTGTTTTCCAGTGAAGTATTGGAAAGGGATAGAGCAACACAGTAATATACCTTTATAGCATTATCATATTGTCTCCCACTGATTTCAGTGGATGCTGTGTGCATATGTGCCCCACAGATTATATTAAATTCACTGTAGTAATATGCACAATCATTCCAAAAATACAATAAAAATCAATGCATTTAGTGTACATTTATCCGAGCACAGTAAAAAAAGAAATAGAAAACAGCTGTATAGCATCTATGAGATCACATTCAACATCTGGTGAGCTAAAACTTTGTTGGCCCATGCTAAGCCCACACTCACTGAGAATATAAACCTATTTAAATTTGAAGGTAAAAAACTTTCACATCTGCTGCATATTGTTTTTCTTTTTTAAAAAAAAGTTCTTTTCACAAATGTGGCAAGGCTTCAGAAAAAAGGGCATACATCTGGGTATTTTCATGATTATCAGGTAATTATTGTTACATGACAAATGCCACGGCTGAGCTATGAATAAAATTGTGACTATGGCTGAAAATAAGAGCAAAAATGGATTAAATGAACTGAACCTTATATTTAGTGCACGAAAAAATTTCACAAAAACTTTGGTTGCCATATTTTTTTCATTCTATGGGCCAAATTCTGTAAATCCTTATTCAGTTCTTATTGTGGCAAGACTTCCATAGAAAATCAATGGGCCAAACCCTTAGACCAATTTAAATAGCCCCACTCTACTTTGTACTGGGCACTGGGTCAATAATTTCAGAGGATGATAGGAGGGTGGAGAGGACAACAGTTCTGTGGTGGACATTTTAAGGTGGCAACCAAGCAGTGGTACATGGGGGATACAGTAGTATAAGTGGATCCAAGCAGACAAGAGGGGGACAAAGAAGCAGCTGTCTGGCTAGCATGTGTTTAATAGCTGGGAAAAGAAAGGGTTGCCACACAGTGGAAGAGCTGTAGCCTTTCACACTAAATGGCATGCCAGAACTATTTGAGTATAATGAATATAATACAAATCGCACCTGGAGCTGCAGCTACCGAGAGATGTTAAGAGTAACAAGAAAGGTTTCTTCAGGTATGTTGGCAACAAGAAGAAAGCCAAGGAAAGTGTGGGCCCCTTAATGAATGAGGGAGGCAACCGAGTGACAGAGGATGTGGAAAAAGCTAATGTACTCAATGCTTTTTTTGCCTCTGTCTTCACTAACAAGGTCAGCTCCCAGACTGCTGCGCTGGGCATCACAACATGGGGAATAGATGGCCAGCCCTCTGTAGAGAAAGAGGTGGTTAGGGACTATTTAGAAAAGCTGGACGTGCACAAGTCCATGGGGCCGGACGAGTTGCATCCGAGAGTGCTAAAGGAACTGGCGGCTGTGATTGCAGAGCCATTGGCCATTATCTTTGAAAACTTGTGGCGAACGGGGGAAGTCCCGGATGACTGGAAAAAGGCTAATGTAGTGCCAATCTTTAAAAAAGGGAAGAAGGAGGATCCTGGGAACTACAGGCCAGTCAGCCTCACTTCAGTCCCCGGAAAAATCATGGAGCAGGTCCTCAAAGAATCAATCCTGAAGCACTTACATGAGAAGAAAGTGATCAGGAACAGTCAGCATGGATTCACCAAGGGAAGGTCATGCCTGACTAATCTAATCGCCTTCTATGATGAGATTACTGGTTCTGTGGATGAAGGGAAAGCAGTGGATGTATTGTTGCTTGACTTTAGCAAAGCTTTTGACACGGTCTCCCACAGTATTCTTGTCAGCAAGTTAAAGAAGTACGGGCTGGATGAATGCACTATAAGGTGGGTAGAAAGCTGGCTAGATTGTCGGGCTCAACGGGTAGTGATCAATGGCTCCATGTCTAGTTGGCAGCCGGTGTCTAGTGGAGTGCCCCAGGGATTGGTCCTGGGGCTGGTTTTGTTCAATATCTTCATAAATGATCTGGAGGATGGTGTGGATTGCACTCTCAGCAAATTTGCGGATGATACTAAACTGGGAGGAGTGGTAGATACACTGGAGGGCAGGGATAGGATACAGAGGGACCTAGACAAATTGGAGGATTGGGCCAAAAGAAATCTGATGAGGTTCAATAAGGATAAGTGCAGGGTCCTGCACTTAGGACGGAAGAACCCAATGCACAGCTACAGACTAGGGACCGAATGGCTAGGCAGCAGTTCTGCGGAAAAGGACCTAGGGGTGACAGTGGACGAGAAGCTGGATATGAGTCAGCAGTGTGCCCTTGTTGCCAAGAAGGCCAATGGCATTTTGGGATGTATAAGTAGGGGCATAGCGAGCAGATCGAGGGACGTGATCGTCCCCCTCTATTCGACATTGGTGAGGCCTCATCTGGAGTACTGTGTCCAGTTTTGGGCCCCACACTTCAAGAAGGATGTGGATAAATTGGAAAGAGTCCAGCGAAGGGCAACAAAAATGATTAGGGGTCTGGAACACATGACTTATGAGGAGAGGCTGAGGGAACTGGGATTGTTTAGTCTGCAGAAGAGAAGAATGAGGGGGGATTTGATAGCTACTTTCAACTACCTGAGAGGTGGTTCCAGAGAGGATGGTTCTAGATTATTCTCAGTGGTAGAAGAGGACAGGACAAGGAGTAATGGTCTCAAGTTGAAGTGGGGGAGGTTTAGGTTGGATATTAGGAAAAACTTTTTCACTAGGAGGGTGGTGAAACACTGGAATTCGTTGCCTAGGGAGGTGGTGGAATCTCCTTCCTTAGAAGTTTTTAAGGTCAGGCTTGACAAAGCCCTGGCTGGGATGATTTAATTGGGGATTGGTCCTGCTTTTGAGCAGGGGGTTGGACTAGATGACCTCCTGAGGTCCCTTCCAACCCTGATATTCTATGATTTTAAGGACCTGTGGTCTATGAATACTCATTGGGTAGGACAGGACACTGGACAGTTAAGTTCAATGAAGGAGGAAAAGAGGAGATCTACCTCTGTTTGGGGACAGCAAATACATGCAAAGACCAGAACCTAAGAGCATATCTGACCCTTTTCGTCTCTTCCTCCCACTGGGGCTTAGGAGTTACTGCAAGTGCATAGCTTCCATCGGAACATATGTCCAACTTTGTTTCACAACTTTACATGTAATTTATGGGGAACAAATCTGTTCAATTCAACCTCCACTTCCCCAGTCACAGAGAACCATATGAAGCAGAAGTTATTCAATGCAGCTCTGATTCTGCACATTAAAAAGTGTAAGATTTGAAGAAGACACGTAAAGTTCCCCAGCAGTCAATCCACATGACATAAAAAAA